AATACAATATGGGTAATACAAAGACAGGGAAACTTCCTGCAATATCTGTCACAGCCAGGTACCATTTGAGCCAATTGCTGTGCAATCATATAATAAAGAGATGGTCTCTTCCCCCAAAGAACTTGCAATCTAAGTATAAGATTATAGATAAAAGGTGGATACAGCAAACAGATAGATGGTGGTGGGCGGAACAATGGGAGGATACTGCTCAACATTTTGAGGAATGGTGACAGCACACCAGCCGCCGACCCATTGTTGAGCTTTTTGTAGGCATCATAGCAGAGAAGAATTTTAAGGAAGGATTTGAAGTGTGATGGCTTAGAAGATATTACAAGGAACTCCTCCCATGTATGAGGCACAGTGTGGGAAAAAGCATGGAGATGCTTGGTTGGAAACTTTTTAAAATGGGCCAGAAAGACTGGCATCATTTGCTGAACCAAGGTGGGGACAGTCATCTTGATACTGTCTGAGAGATTTCAGAGTAGCAGCCGTGTTAGTCTGTAACCGCAAAAAGAAAAGGAGGACTTGTGGCACCTTAGAGACTAACAGATTTATTTGAGCGTAAGCTTTCGTGAGCTGCAGCTCACTTCATCGGATGCATGCAGTGGACTGAGAGAGCATAGGAAGGGTGAGGATGAGCTGTGCAGCCAACACACACAAAGAATGAGGGAGAGGGAATTCAACAAGAGGCGAAGCGCTGATACAGTTATGTTTTCCACCCTTCTTGTTGTTCCATTTTTGTTTTGGGGTTGTCAAGGTTCCTTTCCCCACTCTGAACTCTAGGTTACAGATGTGGGGACCTGCATGAAAACCTCCTAAAGCTTACTTTTACCACCTTAGGTTAAAACTTCCCCAAGGTACAAACTATTTTACCCTTTGCCCTTGGACTTCCACTGCCACCACCAAACGTTTATCTGGGTTTATTTCTTAGGGAAGCGTTGTTTGGAAACTTCTTTCCCCCGCAAATCCTCCCAACCCTTGAACCCCACTTGCTAGGGAAGGTTTGGTAAAAACCCTCACCAATTTGCATAGGTGACCACAGTCCCAAACCCTTGGATCTTAAGAACAATGAAAAAGCATTCATTTTCTGAAAAGAAGGATTTTAGTAGAAGTAAAAAAGAATCACCTCTGTAAAATCAGGATGGTAAATACCTTACAGGGTAATTAGATTCAAAACATAGAGAATCCCTCTAGGCAAAACCTTAAATTACAAAAAGACACACAGAAAGGAATATCCATTCTATTCAGCACAGCTTAATTTCTCAGCCATTTAAAGAAATCATAATCTAACACATATCTAGCTAGATTACTTACTAAGTTCTAAGACTCCCTTCCTGTTCTGTCCCCGGCAAAAGCATCACACAGACAGACAGACACAGACCCTTTGTTTTTCTCCCTCCTCCCAGCTTTTGAAAGTATCTTGTCTCCTCATTGGTCATTTTGGTCAGGTGCCAGCGAGGTTATCCTAGCTTCTTAACCCTTTACAGGTGAAAGGATTTTTCCTCTGGCCAGGAGGGATTTTAAAGGTGTTTACCCTTCCCTTTATATTTATGACAGGGGTTTTATTTTTTCTCGTGCTTCTTTGGGCCAAATTCCACTACCCTCACTCATAATAGTACTGTACCTTATTCTGTGAATAGTCTACTTGGCTTCAATGGCACTACTCATGAGTAAGGCCATCAGAATCTGTGAGAGTTTATAAATTTCCTGGACCTTAAGGACAGACCACATGGAGGAGAAGCCATAAGCACAGCAGACTAGGTCAGGAAGAGAATTCCAGGTGTAGGGAACCTCATAGAAAATAGCTTGGAGGTGAGAATGGGAGAATAAATGAAGGGGCTAATTATGGTATTTTTTAAAAAGTTAAAGGTTGACATATGCATAGTGCAATTAGCAGAAGGTCACGGGTTTCAAAGGGAGTTTGTGCTGCTATATCGTCCCTAATTCCCCCCGCCCCATGACATGTAGGATTACCCAGTGTCCTGCAATCCCTTCATTACCTGGGGAATCATGACTGGGAGCGTGCAGGGAGGGGACAGTGTTTGCTCCAGTTTCTTTTTGCTTCTGATGAAGTCAGGTTCTTGCTTTCTTCAGCCTCGCTTTTCGTTTTTAATATAGTTACAGATTTTTTTCACTGATTGCTCTTTATGCTGTGTTAATTGAAATATGCCCAACTGCCAGAAACAATTACCTTCAGATTGCCTTGTCAATGCCTTTACTGCCAGATAAATGCATTTACAGACTCATTTACGGGGGTATAGTAAGTAGGCTTGGTTTCCTATTTAAAGCGAGGACTTTGATTTTGAATTGGGTCTAAATTAAATTGTGCTCCGGAAATCTGTTTTAAATTGTGTTGCTTAAGTCACATTAAATTAACCTTCAGCGTGTTCCTTTTAAAATAGAATGTCTACATCAGCTACTACTGCTGGATTGAAACACTATAGAAGGTAGTATTGTCTAATGGTTTGAGTAGAGGCCTGGGAGCCAGGATTCCTGGATTCTTTTCTCTGCTCAGCTACTGACTTCAGTGTGTGACCTTTGGGAAATCTCTTAACCTTTCTGTGTTCTCTCCATATGTGAAGTGGATAATAACAGTTCCTATCTCACAGGATACAGTGAGACCCAGTTAATATTTCATGAAACACTGTGGGATTGGCAGGTGTAAGGTGCTATGTGCCATGTGAGTGCACGTTATTATTATTTTATTATTATTATTCATTTGTTTTATTAGAATGTTAGTTGGGTTTTCTGAGGACACTTGCAAAGTACTTTTGTATCTGTAGTTATTTGAATCCTATCAGCGTTTGGCAGGCATGCTAAAAAGTAAAGTCAGACAATGGTACTTTGGGATTTTTAAAAGAACAGTATCCCAGTAATTTAAAATTAAATGTAAAATATGCTGTTAGGTGACATATTGTGGTTGAGATCTTAATCATGCCAAAGCCAGGAAACCGAAAGTTAAGGTGTCACATCAATCATAGCTTGGCCCCTTCGCACGTAATGGAGTCAAAACAATTATTTTTTTGGAATATGATTAAATTTAAAGTTGTTGAATTGTCGCTGATTAAACAAGGGTGTAAATGCCTGTGACACTTTCTCAAGGTGTCCAGAACTGTAAATCAATGTATTACCCCTCTGCCTCAGCATAAAAGAGAGCCGCTGGTGCTAAACTGAATGGCAACTCCCAGTCACTCCAGTTTGTTTGCCAGCCCCACAGATTCCTCATGATTCTACTAGTTCTAACTGTGCCTTGAAGGTTAACCCTTGATGTATTTCAGTTCCCAACTCTCTAGAAGTGTCTCCCTGCACCATCCAGCCGTTGACACTGGACACCCACAGAAATGACCAAGTCTGCTGTCTCTAAAGAGACAATGTGCACAGCAGCTTGCTTGATTTAGTCAGGAATTCACACTCTGCTTGGTATAATAGTGCCGCAATAGTCTTATGATAAAAGAAAGAGAAGTTTATTAACCAAGATCTAAGTGATACTAAGCAAGAATAATAGAGACAGAAATGGTTCCAAATAAAATGAAAGTAGAACACACTTTTAAGTGACTAAAACTTACCGGGCTACAATCCTTGATGAAGATGAGTTTCTTATGTAAAGCAACCTTTCAGCATCACCCACCCACATGGCAGGGGATCCACTGTTCAAAGTTAGAAAGAGCGCTGACCTCTTTGTCCCCTAGGTGAGGGAAAACCAACATGTCTTTTTGTTGTTCCATGTATTCCTGAAAGTTTATTGTCTTTGTCACGAGAGTCAGGATGAACTCCTGGGGATCAGACTCCAGTATCTTCCCATGCTGATTTCACATTTTCTTGCTAATTTGTTCCTCCTATTTTCCTCGGATGAAAATGAACTGCCCATTGTCTCTGGAATCACAATGCTCAATTTACATTAGAGACAGGGAGCTAACTATCCTCCCTCTTGTCTGGAAGAAAACTTGCTTCTCCCTTTGCTTGGTTACAGACTTCAAAGCATAATGTCAGTGAGTATCCACAATTCCTAATATAGTGTTAATACATATATTTCACAATGATGATAATTATTGATTAGTGTGTCACCAGCTTGCATTTTATATCGCACACAGTATTCTTGACGGAGAAATACTGTGACAGTACTGTGTTAGGGAAAGTGAGTTTTTCCAGCCCACCAAGAGTTGCTGATACAGAGTAGTGAGCCACCAGTGGGGCTCTGTGTCATGACCCCCCATTTTCTGAACAGAAGGAATGTATAGATCTGCCCCTACGTTAAAGTTCTGAGATGCCCTTTTCCAGAATAAACTTCCCTGAGACCTTGCTAGTGTTGGTAGCATCTTATCCTGTGGGAAGGGCAAACAACACTGAACGTTTCAGGAGAAAACCTTGGTCTAGTATAATCTGTGCTACCACATGAGTCATCATGTAAAATGATTTGTCTGAAGAATTCCTACTCTAGAGGCCTAACAAATAACGGAATTATAGATATAAGAGATGAGAAAGTCGTATTAGAGTCATGTCCATCTTCCTGCCAAACAGGATGTGTTCTGTTCCCTAGATACATTCAGTATACTTTTTAAAATGGCATTTTTTGGCCGTTATGGATCCTATGGCATATTTTTTGAAAGAGCAGGAATAACAGCACTGATGACCTGGCTAAATTTCATAATTACGTTCTGCAGGCTTAAATTTGTCCTTTGGTTTCAATTTCATATGGAATTGTTCAGTTTCTGTCCTGAACTGTCACCTCATCTTCCTGCGTGCTATTAAATTTCTGGTTTGTTATAGTCCAGAAGTGGATGCTTTTCAGTGGGGGGGCGAAATGATTCATATATAGAGTTTTGAATCAGTTTGTAGAATGTCCTGGGATCCTTGGATGAAGATGCTATAGAAACATTAGTTGTTATTATTGTAACAAGCCTTGGTGGGCTTGTCTCAGTTCTTATTTCTGCTTGGGTTATATCAGGAAAGTGGTTATAAACTTCTACATTGGTTTTACATTTTGTATGTATTTGTTTTAGAGCCAAGGTGGACAAATAGGACCAGCAGTTAAGCCAGTACAATCAAGGACTGCCAAAAGCATCTCAAAAAAACGGGTAAGAGTCACAACTTGTCACTAAATCCCAAACTTTCTGAGTGACTGCATTTCTCTACATCCATGAGTAGCAAAGTAGATTCCATTTCAATAATGGCCAACTTGATATAACTGGTGACATTTAAATTTATTTAGCAATAGAGGGTTGTTCTAGACTCTCATTAAGAAGGGAATTACATCAGCAAATTAGAGTATAAAATGGAAATTAAAACTAAAGCACATTTAAGACCCTCCACCCAGTCTGCCCTATTTCATTTCCCTTTCCTTTCAAGAAAACTAGAATGTGCAAACAGTGAATTTCCTTGGTACATGGCATGTAGCCAACATAGCATTACCTGGCCATGCTCATTGGGCCCCACAGTTATCATCAGTCATTGCTAGGCACATGTAGATATTGTACAGTGCTTTGTACTCTTATGGTGTTGTACAAATAACAATCTTATACTGAGGCAGCAACTCCCAGAAACCGTAACACTGCATCATGAGGATCTTACACAGTGTTTATATTTTGGCTCGCAGTGTCAAACGGAACTGGGGAGTTTGTGTGAGTGTTCCCTTCTCACTGAAGCATTGTCATGGCTGTTTGGAGGGATGGGGCAGGATCCAAGGGTCTTTGTTTAGTTTGCTGAGCATTCCCCTTACTGCCTTGTGTGGCAGGCAGCATTCGTATGATCATTATTGCAGTCAATCTGCTGGAGACCTGGCATGCATGAGAAGTTTAGACTCTGTACATTGCTTTAAGGCCACAGGTTGCACATCTCTGGACTAAGAGATGTAAAGTTTAATAGAACTGAGGCAAATGTATTTAAGAGAAAGATGGATTTATTTTAAATTCAACTCATTAGACATTCCAATTTAACGGGAAAAAGTGCCCCAAACTGTTATACCCTTTAATCAGTGACTTGGTGCTCTGCAAGTATAATGGTAATGAAAAGGAATGTAAATTAATCCATACAGTGATCAGTTTTCTATTAGTGATGTAACATAATGACACCATCAAGCACCACACCCCAGTGAAAGCATCTCTCTGTGCTATGGCCGTGCAGCTAGGATGTTTGCTTGTACTGTGGTGTAACGCCTGCTGACCTTTACAAGAAAATGGTTAACATTGCTCTACCTAAAATATGATCCCTAAATCTTTATATCTGAAATAATTTCTAGGTGTAGCTTATGTAACAACATTTTAGAAATAACTGCTGGTCCTTTACTGAGCCATTGAGCAGTCTCAGTTTAGAGCATCAATGTAATATGTTCTGCATTATGGCTCTCTTAGAGATTGGGTGTAATATGAGCAAGAGAACTAGAGTCGTCATCTTTTAAAACGTGAAGATTAAATGAAAAAACTGCTGCTCTTGTTTTGAAAAGGGAAAGAAATGATCTTCAGACATGACAGGCAATTTTGACCATAACCAAGGGCCTGATCATGGTTCAAAAAAGAACTAGATAAGTTCATGGAGGATAGGTCCATCAATGGCTATTAGCCAATGATGGGCAGGGATGGTGTCCCTAGCCTCGGTTTGTCAGAAGCTGGGAATGAGTGACAGGGGATAGGTCACTTGATGATGACCTGTTCTGTTCATTCCCTCTGCGGCACCTTGTTACCTGGGGTTATCAGAACCCCCAGTAGGGGCAACTTAACTATTTCACTCCAGGTGGTATAAGGAATAAATCAACAGGAACTCAGCGATTCTGTCAGATCAAGGAGAAATGCAAGTAAGCATGCTTTTGTCTAACACTTATTAGTTATTAGATTTAAGCACACACAGACATAAGCACTAGGTTTAGAACATCCCAGATATTTACCTATATTCTGAGATGGTATTGAGTAATCAACGACAGGTCAGTGCTGGCCAAATGCCTTCCTGCCAGGGAGTACATATGTCAGGAAAGCGCTGATTAGCAAAACTGCCAGTAGTTATGACCTTGCTTCTGAAAGTCTGTCTCCAAATTAACCCTCAACTATGTTGGGTTCTCTTTCATTAATTCACAGTGGCTGTGTGCACATAATATAATTGCAATTAGCTTGATCACATTCTGGGGTATATACACCCCTCAAATCCAGGGCAACAACCTGGCATTGGCCACTTTTGGAAGACAGGATACTGGGCTAGATGGATATTTGGTCTGACCCAGTATGGCTGTTTTTATGTTCTTAATGATCCTGAGCACCTTGTAGGTTCATTCAGTGGCAGCTATGGTAACTCAGCACCTTTCGAGGCCCACAAGGTCTGTGTTAGCTAAGTCTGGCCAAAGCTTCATTTAGAGAGGTCAGACTGAGATCAGCTGCTTCCCTACTTTCATCCCCTCACACCTCTGGAACCGTCCCCATCTCAGTGCATTAATGGGTTTGTTGCTCCTGTGCTAGGATGAAGATGCATCCACTGAAGTGGGAGAGGGGGCAGATGAATGGACACCATCAAAAACTCTACTCAAACCCCCGGACCAACTGGAGTTGACCGAAGCTGTGAGTAAAAGCGTATTTGGGGTTTTCATGAGTTTTTTACACAAAAGCAGAATCCCTGCTTTTGATAGAGTTTCTGTTATAGCAAACACTTCACTGAGTTTTTAGTGCACTGCTTATGCTGTTTAAAACAAAATTGCCTTCAGCAGTACAAGCTGGAGAGCATTACCTGAAGGAACCTTCTGGGGCCAATGGGCTAGAAGAGAGAAAATGTCCTTGAGGAGAAGATTTCTCCCCTGTTCTTCCATTGGGGTGGTGGAACAGGATTTCCCCTGGTGGAACAGCCCATAAGGTCCACCAGCAAGCTCTGAGCATCCCAGGGACCAGCAGGATTCTGCGGCCTTTTGTGTTGAGGGTCCAAGAGCTCTGGCCTTGCTCCTTGGCAGCATGGCTCCAATGGAACCACAGAGCCAGGGACATCCCTGTCCACAGCTGCCTCCAGATTCTCCGCTCAAAGGGGGATCCCCGCTGCAAATGGTGGGCCATATAAAAGTGACACAGCCTTACGCTATTCATACTTTGTACTGTGATCTCCGTAGGGTCAACAGAGGAAAGATGTGTGTCCTCCCCAAGTCCTCCTACTCTCTATATAAGTGGTGCTGTTATTAACCAAGGGGCCAATGCTGCAAACACTTGCTACTGAGCTTAGTGCTTACAACTTGTTTTGGATTGCACGCTCTTCAGGGCAGGGTCTGTGTATGGAAAGCGCTTACCACTTTGTGGGTGCTACTACCGTCTAAATATCTCATAATACTAAAGAATCTATGGGTATGCCTACACTTTGAGATGGAGGGGTAATTTCCAGCTTGAGGAGACACATCCCCACTAGCTCTGATTATTTTAGTATGTTAAAAGCGGTGGTGGTACGGGCAGCAGAAGTGGCTAGCTGCCCTGAGTAAGTATACATCCGAGACGCTAGGCATGTAGTCAGGCTGTTAGCCTGTCCCACCACCATAGCTACTGCAGCTATGCACTATTATTAGCATGCAAGCTTGATCAGAGCTAGCGCAGGTTTGTCTCCTCAAGCTGGAATTGACACCTCCAGCTTGAAGGGTAGACTTGCTCTAAGTAATCCCTTTGAAGTGAATGGAGCTACCCATGATAGTAAGCATTATGCCCAGTAGTGGTTGCAAGATGGGGCCCTAACACGGCACATTCTGAACTAACTTTGCCACAGCCATTGTTCCTCCTGGAAGCAAAAGCTTTTGCTGAGATGTCCATTGCTGTTTGAACACAAGGGAAATGAGCTTGAGGAATCTGGAGATCTTTTTATACTATATGTTCCATTCTATGCATCCCATGAAGTAGGCTTTATACTATATGTTACTGTTCCAGCTTTAAGAGCGGGCTTGTATTTATGGCTCTGTCTTTCCATTCCAAAGGAATTAAAAGAGGAAGTTACACGCATCCTGACAGCCAATAATCCACATGCTCCCCAGAATATCGTCCAATACAGCTTTAGGGTAAGTGCCGAATGGTCTGTAAATCCAGATTCTGGTGGCAGACATTTGCTGATTTGTGCTTAACTCAATTTATAACAAGGTAACATGTATTTTAGTGTGGATTTACTTTATTTACCATATACTACTAGCAGTTCCTCAAGGGCTTTTGCAGAGGATAAAAGTCTATAAACATTAACATAATTGAGATGGCAGTTACTCAACAAGTTCTGAAAGTGAATGTAATTCGTGCAGTTAATCTCATCTGATAAATTATTCCATTCAGTAGTGATGAGAGGAGAGAGAGGATTCTTTACAGTCGGTAGTGCATTTATAACTCAATATCTTCATAGCATGTTCCAGTCTCATGAAAATATATGAGAGTTCAAAAATATGTTTTGTGCAATCAATGCCAATTCAGGGCCAAAGTGGGGAAATTAGTCACCAGCCTGAGCTGCAGAGACCCATGGGAAAGCTCCAGGAAGGATTGTGCCTTATGAAGTCCAATTCCTCCTTTCAGCTTTCCAGTGCAGAAGGTGCATGCCCATTCTTCATCCGTGTGGAGCTTCCTACTCCCCCAGCATGTTCAACTAGCTCTGTGGGTTCTAGAAGGGGAGGGAGGAGTCATGGCCATGCCTCCTCTTCTCCCTCCTTGGGGTGGTTTGCACCCCCTGGGGCATGTGGAGGGAGCAGTCCCCACAGTGTCCCAGCTGCAGTACTTCAGTTGTCCCTAGCCCTTGAGTAGGGAGCTCAAAGGCTTGGGAAGGCACTTTGTTCTCTGGCCTCATTCCTGTGCGCCTGCGCAAGGGCCAGGGAGAATTTGGCCATGTATTTACTCTATCTAAGAAAAGAAATTTAACTAGTGAGAGGAGCATCTGGCCCACAGGGAGCAGATATGGGGCCACAGCTTCCTCTCCATTACATTGGCATGATTTCACTGACTCCAGTGCTGTGGCTGTGTGTACCAGAGAGGAGAATGTGACCCAGGGGGGTGAGTTATTCATGCCTTCAGGACCTTCTCAATGACTGCAATGGGCTTGAAGTGGGGCTATGAGACTTCCCTTGAAGCTGTAGTCCAATTAGCTCCAAATAAAGCAGTGTTTGTTTTAAGGAGCATTGTTACATTAGCACTTTGAGTCTGCAATGTCTTCCTCTTGCTTTTGGGTGCCACTTTGGGTGTTGATATTGATCTACAGAGCCCTATATGGTTTGAGTCTTAGGGTATGTAATGAAGGTGCAATTGTCGCCAGCAGAGACATAGCCGTGCTAGCTTTAATCTAGCTATCCTGGGTAACAACAGTAGAGTAGACACGGCAGCATGGGCTTAAGCACAGGTTACACCCCCCACGTTAATCGGTATTATGTGCATTGTATTAATATTGTATATATTGTATTAAATATGAACAGTTATCCTAAGTGACACATATTATGCTCTTCCCACAATTCTGTTAACTTATGTCAAGATATCTATGTCTATATCTATGTCTATATTCCTCAATACTCTGCAAAACTAAACATAGCTTTTGGCATGAGCAAATATGAAACCTGTTAAAAGCTAGATTCATGAAGGATGTGTCCTAGTACAGGTTGGGTTGTGCTTTCATGGCTCTTAACACTTGAAATGTGGGATCCAAACCTAACGAGAAGAAATATACGTCATGGGATAAGAAGAACATGGTAAAAAGTTGATGGGTGAATTTGAGTCTTGGGTGATGTATAGAGAGTGCTTTTAGCTCGTAAAGAACCATGCTATAAATATGGCTAGGTTTGAATGCATATTTGGGAGCACACCTGCTGTGTAAGGTGAACTGCACACTTCAAGAAAACTGCTTCCTGGAAGGAGTGGTATGTATGCCTCCTTTCTGCATTTTACTACTTTGTCTTTAGACAATAAATGGGCTAAGTTTGGTTATTTGGTGTTGAACATTTTTACTAATATACTGCAAGTATAGTCAAGCAATTGGGTATATTTTAGACAACAAGACTATGTACGCAGGCTCCCTAGCAGGCTTGCACTCTGGTTGCTAGCTTGTGCTGATGCCCATGCCACCACATCTTCACTACTATTGTTACCTGTGCTAGCTAGATTAAAGCTAGAGTGGGTACGCCTACCTGTGCTACAATCAGACCTTCACTTGCAGTGTAGATGTACCCTGAGACTTTGCATCATTGCAACAGCTGAAGTTAGCTGGTGTGCTGCTCTTGCTGACAGCCACAGATTTGGCCATCTGGTAGAGGGCCCTGTCATGGGGGAAACCATCCCTTTAAGAAGGAAGAGGCCAATGCACCTGTGACTTATTAGCTGCCTCCCAGTTGGGGTGAAAAGAAAACACTTGAGCCATATAAATGGGGGGAGATTGAGACAGTGGAAGGTTTAGTCAGGAAAAGGGCAAGTGAGAGCTGCATGGGAGTGAAAGACTGGCTGGTGAAAGCTGCCAGAGACCAGGAGACTGTAGGAGATTTCTGAAGGAAGCTGTTGTTGGTTGCCCGGGGAAGGCTAACAGCAGGAAAGCAGCAGAGAGATCTGGCTGACCTCCTCAAGCCAGAGAGCCAGTCCTGGTAGAAGGAAAGGAGAGAGCCCAGGTGTGGTGGAAGATGCCAGTGTGTAGTATGTGTTACGTCTGTGGACTAGATGTTGTGTTTTAAGGACGATCTGCACAGTGGGTGATAAATGGACTATGGTTTTGGGCTTCTGTTATATATAAAAGCACTATGTTTTCGTATAAACCAGCCCGAAGGAGAGGTATTATTGAGGCAGGTTAACAGGCCAGAGGGAGTGAGGGATGCCCCCCTGGTGGGGGTGAACTTCCAGCAGAGAGACTGTGAGGGTCCCCACTGGGAAGTGTGAGGTTGCACTCTACCTGGAAGGGCTGGGGTGGCTGTCCTGGTAAAAGGACAGGAGAAGACACAGTCGAAGAGCCCAGGTGTGGTGGAAGATGCTGGCGTGTGGTGTGGGCTATCTTGGTGTGGACTAGAGGATGTGGGATTTTAAGGACTATATACACTGGGGTGTGAGAAATGGACTATGTTTGGACTCTTATTATGGAACATTTGAACATATTTTGGTAACAAACTGGCCCCAAAGAGGAGCATTACTGAGGCAAGAAAGTTAGTGTGGAGTTCCTGTGAGTCTGAGAGAGGGAAACTGAGGCAGGTGCACCTGTTCTGCTGCAGCCTGCTGCTGAAGGGTGCTCCACATGGGTCTGCCTTATTACAAGCCTTTACTTGGCAACATGCTCCACCATAGGTCAGATAAGTTGCCTTTCAGAGCATGAATTTTACACTGGTGTAAGTGACAGGAGAATCAGGCCCCGGGTGTGTTTTCCACATGTCCTAGCTGTTTTGTGTGCTGGTGACAGTGATGGTGTTGGGGAAGGTGTTACCATTGCCAGCACCATCTAATCCAACGTTGTGATGGAAGACTGATTTGTTCCCAACAAAGAATGTGTCTTGCGTTGTTGGGGTTTTTTTTGGTTCCATATTGTTACTGACTATGAAGCAGCAGAGAATTTGGTATAATCTTCAGATATTAATTTGAGCCTGTTGTACTGGCAGTTGGAAGATCTTGTTCTAGCCTATAAACTGAGCATGAGGGATGTGAAAGCCATTGACAGTGTTTGCATTAGGGAAAAAAGGTGACAGGATGCACCCTGAAAGGGCTAGCGTCCCTCAACTTTTACTCCACAGGTTTCAATTGGCAACACTGATTAACTGGCATAACTGGCTCAGGGATTTGATCCAAAACTCACTGAAGTCAGCAGAATCAGACCTAAATCCCTCCAATTTGAACATGGATGAACTTCCTTGAAATGTCCCTGATTTTTCTGTCCCCGCTTGCCTACCCCAACCTGGCCCCTCATATTGTTTATTTGTGGTCCTGTATACCTTGAGGCTGTCATAAATATAAAGGGAAGGGTAAACACCTTTAAATCCCTCCTGGCCAGAGGCAAAACCCTTTCACTGTAAAGGGTTAAGAAGCTAAGATAACCTTGCTGGCACCTGACCAAAATGACCAATGAGGAGACAAGATACTTTCAAAGCTGGGGGGTCGGGGCGGGGGGGAAGGGTTCTCTCTGTCTGTGTGATGCTTTTGCCGGGACCAGAGCAGGAATGCAGGTCAGAACTCCTGTAAAGAGTTACTAAGCAATCTAGTTAGATATGCATTAGATTCTGTTTTGTTTAAATGGCTGATAAAATAAGCTGTGCTGAATGGAATGGATATTCCTGTTTTTGTGTCTTTTTGTAACTTAAGGTTTTGCCTAGAGGAATTCTCTCTGTTTTGAATCTGATTACCCTTTAAGGTATTTATCATCCTGATTTTAGAGAGGTGATTCTTTTACTTTTTCTTTAATTAAAATTCTTCTTTTAAGAACCTGATTGCTTTTTCATTGTTCTTAAGATCCAAGGGTTTGGGTCTGTGTTCACCTATGCAAATTGGTGAGGATTTTTATCAAGCCTTCCCCAGGAAAGGGGGTGTAGGGCTTGGGGGGATTTGGGGGGAAAGACGTTTTCAAGTGGGCTCTTTCCCTGTTATATTTGTTCAATGCTTGGTGGTGGCAGCAATAAGGTCCAGGGACAAAAGGTAAAATAATTTGTACCTTGAGGAAGTTTTAACCTAAGCTGGTAAAAATAAGCTTAGGGGGTTTTTCATGCAGGTCCCCACATCTGTACCCTAGAGTTCAGAGTGGGGAAGGAACCTTGACAGAGGCATAAACAGTAGTCTCAGCACTATGTTGGCTTGGAACCTGCAGTGAAAACAAAGGTGAATAACAAATGCACCCGTTTTATCAATATACAACCTGATCAGCTTTACTGTCTACAGGCAAAGATTGTGCCCGATAAAATCATTAGTCTGTCCAGATTTGATTTTTTTGTCTTCCTCCTCTGTAGGAACGAGCATACAAGCCAATAAGCTATGTGGACCAACTGGCTATTCACTTCTCCTTAGATGGGAACCTGTTACTCAGAGACTCAGATGAAGGCAGACGGCAGAGTGCCAGAGTATGCTTGGAACCAGGTAGGTTTATGGGACACTGATTCAGTAAGCGCTGGTGTAGCTTATTCTGTGTGTGACAGTGAGCACGCTGCAATCTGAGGCCCGGGAATGGAGCAGCACTTATTTCTGCTAGCAGTCTTCTTTGCGGAAAAATACTGTTTAAAACACAAACTGTGTATTTGCCACTTCTGACAGTCTGCAAGCCAGGTCTGCACTAATACAAGGAGCTAAGACTTTCAAAGCACTCTAGAGGATTTAGACAATCTTCCACCCAAATTAATGGGAGATACGTGTCTAAACCATTAGGCCTTGTCTACACTACACAGTTTTGTTAGCAAAAGCTGCCTTTTGCTGACAAAACAGTGGAGGTGAGCACATGACAAAGCTGCTTTTAGTGGCAAAACTTTGCTGTTTTGCCTACAAAATAAAACCACCTCAGCAAGAGGCATAAAGCTTTTTTGTGGCAATATTAAAGCGACAAAGCTGTCAGTGTAGATGCAGCTGTTCATTATGTCGCCATATTTGGCCTCCCCCAGTATCCCACAATGCATGCCGTCACCACTCTGCTCGCTATTTTGAACTCTGCTGCCCTGCATCTAGCTACACAGGCATGCGCCACTCCCCTTTTTAAGCTCCGGGAAGCTTTGACATATCTCAGCGTGGAGGACTCACAGCTGAGGAGGATGTGGGAGAACTCGGGAGGGAATCACAGAACCATTAATGTGGAATGACAGGTTTCAGAGTAACAGCCGTGTTAGTCTGTATTCGCAAAAAGAAAAGGAGGACTTGTGGCACCTTAGAGACTAACCAATTTATTTGAGCATAAGCTTTCGTGAGCTACAGCTCACTTCATCGGATGCATAAAGTGGAAAGTGTAGAAGATCTTATTATATACACACAAAAAGCATGAAAAAATACCTCCTCCCATCCCACTCTCCTGCTGGTAATAGCTTATCTAAAGTGATCACTCTCCTTACAATGTGTATGATAATCAAGTTGGGCCACTTCCAGCACAAATCCAGGTTTTCTCACCCCCCCCCCCCAAACTCATTCTCCTGCTGGTAATAGCTTATCTAAAGTGACCACTCTCCTTACAATGTGTATGATAATCAAGGTGGGCCATTTCCAGCACAAATCCAGGTTTTCTCACCCCCCTCACCCCCCCCCCCACAAACTCACTCTCCTGCTGGTAATAGCTTGTCCAAAGTGACCACTCTCCTTACATTGTGTATGATAATTCGACGTCTCCGACTCAAGGAATATTTCCAACATACCTCTGAACAACATACTAATCCACAGAGACCTCCCTACCAACACTACAAAAAGAAGGATTCTAGGTGGACTCCTCCTGAAGGTCAAAACAGCAGACTGGACTTCTACATAGAGTGCTTCCGCCGACGTGTACAGGCTGAAATTGTGGAAAAGCAGCATCACTTGCCCCATAACCTCAGCTGTGCGGAACACAATGCCATCCACAGCCTCAGAAACAACTCTGACGACATAATCAAAAAGGCTGACAAAGGAGGTGCTGTTGTCATCATGAATAGGTCGGAATATGAACAAGAGGCTGCTCGGCAGCTCTCCAACACCACTTTCTACAAGCCATTACCCTCTGATCCCACTGAGAGTTACCAAAAGCAACTACAGCATTTGCTCAAGAAACTCCCTGAAAAAGCACAAGATCAAATCCGCACAGACAGACCCCTGGAACCCCGACCTGGGATATTCTATCTACTACCCAAGGTCCATCAACCTGGAAATCCTGGGCGCCCCATCTTCTCAGGCATTGGCACCCTGACAGCAGGATTGTCTGGCTATGTAGACTCCCTCCTCAGGCCCTACACTCCCAGCACTCCCAGCTACCTTCGAGACACCACTGACTTCCTGAGGAAACTACAGTCACATCGGTGATCTTCCTGATAACACCATCCTGGCCACTATGGATGTAGAAGCCCTCTACACCAACATTCCACACAAAGATGGACTACAAACCGTCAAGAACACTATCCCCAATAATGTCAACCTGGTGGCTGAACTTTGTGACTTTGTCCTTACTCATAACTATTTTACATTTGGGGACAATGTATACCTTCAGATCAGTGGCACTGCTATGGGTACCTGCATGGCCCCACAGTATGCCAACATTTTTATGGCTGACTTAGAACAACGCTTCCTCAGCTCTTGTCCCCTAACGCCCCTACTCTACTTGCGCTATATTGATGACATCTTCATCATCTGGACCCATGGAAAAGAAGCCCTTGAGGAATTCCACCATGATTTCAACAATTTCCATCCCACCATCAACCTCAGCCTGGTCCAGTCCACACAAGAGATCCACTTCCTGGACACTACAGTGCTAATAAACGATGGCCACATAAACACCACCCTATACCGGAAACCTACTGACCGCTATTCCTACCTACATGCCTCCAGCTTTCACCCTCACCACACCAAACGATCCATCGTCTACAGCCAAGCTCTGCGATACAACCGCATTTGCTCCAACCCCTCAGACAGAGACAGACACCTACAAGATCTCTATCAAGCATTCTTACAACTACAATACCCACCTGCGGAAGTGAAGAAACAGATTGATAGAGCCAGAAGAGTTCCCAGAAGTCCCCTACTACAGGACAGGCCTAACAAAGAAAATAAGAGAACGCCACTAGCCGTCACCTTCAGCCCCCAACTAAAACCCCTCCAATGAATTATTAAGGATTTACCACCTATCCTGAAGGATGACCCAACACTCTCACAAATCTTGGGAGACAGGCCAGTCCTTGCCTACAGACAGCCCCCCAACCTGAAACAAATACTCACCAGCAACCACATACCACACAACAGAACCACTAACCCAGGAACCTATTCTTGCAGCAAAGCCCGTTGCCAACTGTGCCCATATATCTATTCAGGGGACACCATCACAGGGCCTAATAACATCAGCCACACTATCAGAGGCTTGTTCACCTGCACATCCACCAATGTGATATATGCCATCATGTGCCAGCAATGCCCCTCTGCCATGTACATTGGTCAAACTGGACAGTCTCTACGTAAAAGAGTAAATGGACACAAATCAGATGTCAAGAATTATAACATTCATAAACCAGTCGGAGAACACTTCAATCTCTCTGGTCACGCGATTACAGACATGAAAGTCGCTATTTTACAACAAAAAAACTTCAAATCCAGACTCCAGCGAGAAACTGCTGAATTGGAATTCATTTGCAAATTGGATACAATTAACTTAGGCTTGAATAGAGACTGGGAGTGGCTTAGTCATTATGCAAGGTAGCCTATTTCCCCTTGTTTTTTCCTACCCCCCCCCCCCCCCCCAAGACGTTCTTGTTAAACCCTGGATTTGTGCTGGAAATGGCCCACCTTGATTATCATACTCATTGTAAGGAGAGTGATCACTTTAGATAAGCTATTACCAGCAGGAGAGTGGGGTGGGAGGAGGTATTTTTTCATGCTTTTTGTGTGTATATAATAAGATCTTCTACACTTTCCACAGTATGCATTCGATGAAGTGAGCTGTAGCTCACGAAAGCTTATGCTCAAATAAATTGGTTAGTCTCTAAGGTGCCACAAGTACTCCTTTTCTTTTTATTAATGTGGAATGTTGCTCTCCCCTGGCAGGCAGGCAGAGTGGCTGCTGCTGGGAGGCAGGGGTGGGGGTGGAGAGACTGCTCAAGCTACTGTCTGAACTTAAAGAGACAGCATGCTGACACACTCTTCCCCCAACACACCCGTCCCCAACACACGCTGTGTTTCTGTCTCTTCCCCTCCCCCCACACACACACTCTCTGTCTCACTCTCTCCCCACCACACACACTTCAGTTGAGAAGTGGTTGGCAATTTAGTAGGATGCCCGTGGAATGATGAAATAGAGAAACCTGCATCATGTGGTGCTGTACCTGCCCCATGAGGCATTGCAAACCCTTCCCAAAGCCCCCTGCGGCCAGTTGCACAGTGGGATAGCTACTCACAGTGCACTGCTCTCTGTGTCGATGCAAGAGCTGCTAGTGTGGACGTGCTCTGCCAACACAAGGAACATAGTGTGTACATGCAACAGCAGTTTAATTACAGCGCTTTAAGCATAACTTTTGTCGACAAAACTCTGTAGTGTAGACATAGCCTTACATTCCTTTGAAAATCTCATTCACAAAGGTGGAGTGGTACCGTAATTCAGGGTCTCAAAAAGTATGCCACCAAGTAGTTCTGCATTCGTGTTCCATGCTGGGCAATGGAATCTTTTAGGGAGACCCTAGCATTCCTGCTGCCTCTTAAAATTGTCTGATCAGTGGAACAGAGGACTGCTGATGGTGAGAATTAACTGAAAGACTGGAACTGGCCATGGATATGTGCCCTTCTAATGTGGCAGCTGCTAGGCCCAAGGGCACCATCTTACAAGCTCCTGAGAATTTTAGTTACCTGTGGGTCTCTGGGATTTATGCTCCTTTCTTTGCACCAGTGTTGAAATCTCTACCAGGATTTAAAGTAAATCTGTATGTAAACTGAATCGTCAATGCATTGAGTGTGTTCATCCCCTCAGATGATAGCAGCACATTCGGGATGTCAGATAAGGCTCTAAGAGTCTGTTTGGAAAAGGAATAGGTTGTTGGATGGATAGTCTTACTAGATATGGAAACCATGGTCTCCACAATCAGTGAGAGTTCAGATGGATAGAGCTAGATACCTGGACTAAGACATGCTTCTCTAACATGCTTATTACATTTTTTTCCTGTCCACACGTGACCCTTATTAACATAATTTGGCCACAGCCATTCTTCAGAGCCATGTTTAAACATAGTCATTTTTGTAGGGTAGACAAAGTGTTTCCTAAAAAGGATGCAACCCAAATCAGAATGTTGAGTGAGATGTGATCTGAATTCAGCCAGGAAATTGGAACCGCTGCAACCTCTTTCTAGCGAGGCCCTGACTCTCTCTCTGCGGCTTTGAACAAGCCGAGTCGCCTCATTAGGTCAGTCCTCTGTAAACTGGGGACAGTAATACTGACTGACGTGGCTGGCAGGGTACTGTGACGACTAATAAGCTAGGGTTTGTAAAGTGTTTTGGAGATAAAAGGATGCAGTATCTTTGTATTCATGTTGTGGAAGATGGAAAGTGTCTGCAACACATAAAGGTGTGTATTAGCCAGAGATGATTAACATACTTGTGTTGTTGTCAGAACTGGCTCCTGTTGAGTCCACAGTGATAGAAGTTGAAGAGGCAGAGGTTAAAGAAGAAGGAAGCAAAGAAGATATTCCGGTAATGCTTCACAGCTAACTGCAAGCTGTCAATATGATTTTAAATATTAGATTCTGAGATCAGTTTGTATGTGTCTTTTGGCATAAGCAGCATCACCAGAGGAAACTCCATGCTTGCTTACTTTATCTCTGCTTAATACATGTAGGTCGCATCAAGGTGGTCTGCAGCCAACCTATTCTTTAATATGGAGGTGCTGCTCGTGGAGATGACAGATGCCCGCATACCATGCTTTATGTTGAGCCAGATGCGCCATCCAGATGAAGCATGGTTTGCTGGGACACGTCTCTGCAGACAGCACTTCTGTATTCAAGCTGGAAAATAGTTGTAATCAGTTCCATTTCGTACACATGAAGTGTGGCCCCTGGGTTACTAGCCAACTGCTGATGTGAATCAGAGCTGAGCAAAGTTTGGAGGTCATTGGTTTCTACTACCACAATACTTTTTTGTTTCATCCATTTATAAGGTGCCTATTACAAGGTATCTAAGTGCTGTGCAATGAAAAATAATACAAATTCATACAAATAAAATGACATAAGAACCAGACAGCCATATAAAATAGAGGCCAAATCCTGTAAACCAGGTAAACCACCTGCAACAGGATCATTTTCTAGCTTCATGAGAGAAACAGAAACAGTGTAACTGAGGCAAAAACAAAGCATGAAGATGTGAAAGGATCAAACATAAGACAGCTGAAATAACTGAGATTGGGGCGTGACCTAAAGGCAGCCAATGAGGAAGGGACAATACAGTAGGAAGTTCACTCCTTCCCCAGTCAGTATTGAACCTAGGAACCAAGAGAGGACTAATTTCAGGTGACTTTAAATGCCTGAGAGGGGGATACAGGCAATTATGGAAGTACTAGGAAACTAGGATTATAAAGAGCTAAATATATGAGATCAAAGGCCTTTGAACTATGTCACTGGGTGTCCAATAGCCAGTGCAGATCACAAGGAGTGGATGTAACTAACTCACTATTCTATTCAAAAGAGCAGGCGAGTAGTATCACTTTCTGCAACTGTTAAAACCTCTAGATCAGATTCAGATGGATCCTAATTAGGAGAGCATTACAATAGCCCACCTTAGATTTGACAAATCCATGATGATCATGGAGATGGCTATAGGTAGGAGAGTTGTGTGGACTTTTCCAAATGAGTTAGTGGTGATAACAACCACACTCAACCGTTCTTGCATCTTGGATCTCTGTGTTTAGGGAGTGGCTGAGGGTGATCTCCAAATCCCATACCCATGTCACCAATGGTGGCCTAGACCCTGAGTAACAGATTTCCTCTGCTAAGTACCAGAAGTCCAGCATTCCAAGGGATAGGCATTTTGAAGTTGAAGATAGATCTCTGATCCACTTCAGTTCTCAATTAAGCATTGCTTTATTCTTCTCTAGGCTGTATCAACAGAAGAAGCAGCTGAAGGGGAAGAACCTCCTCCCCCTTTGTTGAAGGAACAGAAGCTCACCAACCAGTTCAACTTTTGTGAGAGAGCTTCACAGACTTTAAACAATCCCGTGCGGGTATGCTGCCAATCCTGTCTCTTTCGATGATACACAAGCATGTGTTAGTAAAATCCTTCCTTTGTGACTGGAGTCCAGATTGTTTGTCTGTATGTCTTCTCCTGCAATCACTGCCAATATTAGTGGGGAAAAGAATCTTAACTAGTCGTACCTAAAACATTTGGGATGGGGAAGATGGTGACACAGAGTAATGTTCACAAGATGGATTCTCTTATGTTCTGTCAGAGGGGTCTGGGGCCTTTGCAAATCTAGGTAGTAAAATTTCAGCCTCACACACATGCTTGGGTGTAACATTTTTGCACTTGTTTCCCAATACCAGAAAAGGAAGGATGGTCCAGTGCTTTTGGCACTAGCCTAGGCCTTGGGAGATCTGGGTTCCGGTCCCCTTTACCCCACAGACTTCCTGTGTGACCTTGTGCCTTGATTTTTCATCTATAAACTAGGGACAAAAAAGCACTTCCCTCCTCTCTGGTGTGTTGGGGGAGCTAAATACATTAAAGTTGGTGAGGTGCTCAGATACTTTGCTAATGTGAGCAATTTAAGAATGATAGATGTTCTCTGCTGCTGCTTTACATAAGCTCTCCCCCTATCCCCACAGTACATGTGTTTGCTCTTGCCATGACAGAAGATCAATACAGATTTGAGTCCTAAGGTTCTGAAATGCCTTTTATGCTGAGGCCACAGTCTTTCCCAATGGGTGTGTCTCTAAGGGTATGTCAGATCGACGTATGCATGCAAACTTTGACTGGTAGCACACTAAAGTAGAAGTGTAGCTGCAAAAAAACCCAAAGAAACAAAGCCATGGTGGGCAGGCAGAATGGACTGGATGCGTGAGTAGATGCTCAGGTGGGACTGTGCTCAGGGTGGTTAGCCCATCCCACCACCTGTGCTGTTGCGGCTACACTTCTCTTTTTAGCACACTAACTCAATCGCAGCTAGCATGTGTATGTCTACCTGAGCTGGAATTACACCTCCAGCTTGCGTGTAAATGTGCCCACAGAACCCTCCCTAGCTGATCACCATGCATGTGGTGCTGGACCCAGTGAGGAGGTCAAACCAAACCTTCCCCTGAGTCCAAGATATTTGTTGCAGGGAGAAAATTCCCTCCCTTTCCCTGCAGTTACATAGCCAAGTATCCATCACTTCTTCAAAGAGCCAGAGTTCCTGCAGCCTTTCCAGCTAAGGTGTGTTCCCTTTAGATCTCATTGGTCTCCCAACCTGGCCTAGCTAATGAGAAAAATCAAGGTGCTGCAGCAATTAGTGCTGATGATTTGGGTCATGCTCTTTCCTCGGAGTCAGTACTGAACTGATGCTCTAGGACAGTGCTAAGGGGTCTTGCGATGCTGGACATGCTGCCTTTCAAAAGCAATGTCAATCCAAGTTCCTGACTACTTGTGGTTATTGAAGATCTCATGACATGTTTTAAAAGAGGAGGGGTGTTAACTCTTGTGTCTTGGCTCACTTGAGTAATCGTATTCTCCCGAACTAAAATGCCCCGTAGTTTTACATGACCACAGAATTCTTTACGTTTTGTTTTAGAACCAAATTCTGTTCTCAGCTATGTATGTGGAGTTCGACTGATAATAATGGGATTTGCTTGGGTGTATTTAAAAGCAACATGTGGCTCTTAAATTATTGTGTAGTGTTGCTGTTAAAGATGTGCAGCATTCCATCCCAGAGACTGCTGCACCTCAGAGGTCAGTGAAGTGATATGTATATGGAGTTATTCAAACATTTTCCGACTGAACGGTTTTCCGCCAGAGAATGTCGATTTGATGAAATTGAAATGTTTTGTGGGAATGTACCAATTTCATTGAAATGTTTGATGGGGGAATGATCACAACATTTTGTTTTGACTTTGACTTTATATTGTGTCATTTATAATATAAAAATACAAAGGTTGAAACACTTCAACTTTTATAAAATATAATAGTCAAAAAGAGAAAGTTGGAATGAAATACTTTGACCTTAACAAAATATTTGTAAGGTCAAAATGAAAAATTTCAGACTATTTAATTTTGTGAAAAATTCCAAGATTTCATCCCAATTTGGGACAAAACCAAACTTCAAAATCTTGGAATCTCCCACAGAATGGGAAGTCCGTGTTCTACCGAGCTCTCTCTCTATTGTTGGAATCGTCATTTAGTAACATTTATATAGCACTTTGGGATCCATTTGGATGACAGTTGCTATAAAAATGCAACACCAGGATCACTCCCCCTGCTTGGTAAATGAACACTCTAGGCTGCTTCCACAGCTGGACTCTTCTAGGGAACAATGCTTCTGCTAAAGGAGATGGGGATTTTCACCACTGTCGTCACTTACAGATTCACTTTCATTTATATTATTTTTTAGGAAAGAGAATGTCAAATGGAGCCTCCACCTAGAGCAACCTTTTCTGCCACGGCTAACCAGGTAAACCTTTTCCCTTTTGTTGTATGCAGCGTAGCAGTAGCTGTGTCAGTCCCAGGCTATCAAGTTGGGCCAATAAAAAGATAGTACCTCCCCCACCTTATCCCTTTTCCTTTTTGTAAGTTTTTGCTGTATCTTTAAGGGGAGTGGGATAAGGGTCTGGAGAGGAAAACGTGGTGATGTAAGTAATCCTGTATATGTTTTTAACAGTGGAAGGCATTCAGATACTACGGTGGTGGGTCCAGGTCTGGAACGAAGACCTAACAGAATAGAATTATTAATATACTCGAGTGTGGCACTATAATAGGAAACAAAATGAGGTTGTGAGGGGCCTAATGTGGGTTGTCCCCAACTGAAGACAAATTGAGAGAGGTTAGGCTGGCATGGATATGTCCTTTGGAGACCTGAGAACTGCATTGGGAGGATGGCCCTTGCAATGATCTCAGGTGGAAGACGACCAAGGGGGAGGCCAAAGACATGGTACCTGGACTAGATATCAGCAGATCTTAAAGAGTCCAATTTGCACAACAGCCAGGCATATGATTATGAGTTTTGGAAGAAGGCTATAGAAGTTGCTGATACCAAATAGGGAAGTGGCAATAAAAAAGAAGTGTGGCACTGTTAACCCAGGCTCTCATCTCCTGCATTACTCCTAAAGAGTGAAGGTCTATTCTCCCGAAGAGCAAGTCTCAGAGGTTCTATGTCCAACTAGTTATCACCCCACTTATCAACTATGAGCCAGCCTCTCCTCCAGTAAGTCTTAAAGGAACATCTAGTGTATGGAACCGCCAAGGATTTGCTTCCTATTCCGGGGAGTTTTCCGTGGAGTTTACAAATATTTGCAAAGTGCAAGATTGTGGGTGTTTTCCATCCATTGTCTAAACCATCTAGGAGAGGAAGCAACAATTTTTTGTAATGCCTGGAGCCAAATGCAGTAAGAAATGTAGTAAAAAACACGGCCGGCCAGATTTGCGGTCTGTGTAAATTGACATAGCTTCACTATAGGTGATGGGGCTATACCAATTTACACTAAGTGAAGATCTGTCCGCAATTTATTGTGTAGTATTTTCTCTGTCTCTTTAAAAAGCTTTTTGAAAAAATAAATATTAAGCTAACACTTTTTACACCTGAAATTCACCAATGCTTTGGCTGAGTATGGAATCCAGCCAGTTTCGCTGGTTGTTTCATAGAAGCTTAATGGTCTATTTGTGATTGTTACTGATATCTGACAGTTGGCCCAGTTTGTGCTGATTTGTCCATTGTACTGGAGACACAACAGTGCACAGGAAAAAGTATTAATTTGACTACATTAACTGAAAAAACCTCTAATGTAGCAATGTGGTATGGGAAAGGGAAAATGCACCTTTGTTATACTGAAAAACATTGCCCCAGATTATTCCTTAACTGGAGATCCGAGCATATAATTAGCATGATGTACAAAGTTCTCGTCTGTTACAGGCTGGAGGAGTTCTCTTCTGACCATTTTCTGATAATGCGACTGCTTGGGAGATTGAGAGAACAGAACTGTCAAATTAATCAAACCACAGCTGAGATTTTAGATTAAGATGCTGAAAATTAGGGGGAGAAGTTTCTGCTTAATTTTTCTAACCTCTTGTGAAATGAAATGGATTTGAACTACTCACTTTCTCAGTTCTTCTTTCTTCCTTTTGCTCTCTATCCTCTCTTAACTATTCCTTTCTTCCCCCTCTCCTGCTCTTGCCTTCACGTGACTTTCTATACAGCCCCAAAGATTTGGAATATCCTCCAACTTCTTCCCCTCCCCTCACACACCCTCTCTTCCTTCCAACCCCTGACTAATATACATTCTGCTGCCCATCTTCATTCCGATGTGGTCTCCTCCATTTTGTGTTTGAAGTATTTATCCATCTATCCATTTGGTCTGTCTGAATTAGATTGTAAGCATATCAGGGCAGGAATCTTGCCTTTCAAATGGTTATAAAGTCACATATCTTCTGTACAGCACTCCATGACTAGACCCAAGCAGAAAAAAAGTGTCCTCCTGGATCCAGTTGGAGAAGACATTCTGTGCTTGTGGGGCAGCTGGGCATGGCAGAAGGTGTGAAGCCATTTGCATGTTTTAGCTGGCTATTGCCTGCAGGGTCAGGCTCCAAGTTGCAGGGTGCTAAGCGGTTACAATTGAGTTTCTTAATGCAACACTATAAGTTACCTCAGAAGCAGCGGCCTAATGTGCTTGTTCCATCTATTAAACACTGGTGAGTTATCCCAAGCTGGGGTGACAGAGGAAATCCTGGGGAAGCAGGGCTTTAAAAATCCTGGGGCTCAATCCTGCAGTCTGTATACAGGAAAAATGCCCATTGACTTCATACTGATTTCAGTGGGAGTGTTTCTGGTGTAAAGACTAGTATCTTTGTGAACGTATTGATGTCTGGCATACTTGTCTATGTTTGTTTGCTGGAGTGTAATGAAGTCACCTATTAGATTAGTCAGGAAGTCCTGACTCTTGTTCTTCCTCTCTCAGTGGGAGATCTATGATGCCTATGTGGTGGAGCTTCAGAAACTGGAAAAGTCAAAGGAGAAAGAGAAGCAAAAACCCCAAGTTTCAAAGAAAGAAGACAAGCAGAGGGGAAGAAAGTTAACCTCTCTAGAGTCTCAGGTACATGCCATATGTGTAATTTATCATTCTGGGCAGAATCAAGCATGCATATAAAACTCCAACCTGGCTGAATGTTAGCAGCTCAAACTTGCCGGGGGGTTAGCCATCTCTGAGAGCAAATAGTAATGCAGTGAGAAATTCAGAAATTGTTTTTTGCATATGCACAGTGTGAAATTTCCATTTTCAAGTTGCTGTACTCTTTATGGGAATGTAAAAAATGCCAAACCGGAACACTGATGTGAATTCTGTTCTGTGAGTGAGGTTTCTGCCTCTGTGTTACAGTACAGTTCTGTCACTGTGTAAGTTGTTAGACAATGCAAATATGGAAGAACAGGATGAAATCAGTAGAAATATTGGTTGAGATTTGCAAAACATTTTAAAGGGATTTGGGGTAAAATTTTCAAAATTGAATTCAGGCTGCAAGTCACTCAGGTGCTTTTGAAAATGTTACCAGTTGTCCATTAAAGTTACATTACATCCTTGACAGGTTTCAGAGTAGCAGCCGTGTTAGTCTGTATCCGCAAAAAGAAAAGGCGTACTTGTGGCACTTTGGAGACTAAGGGTATGTCTACACTACAAAATTAAGTCGAATTTATAGAAGTCAGTTTTTTAGAAATCGTTTTTATATAGTCGATTGTGTGTGTCCCCACACAAAATGCTCTAAGTGCATTAACTCGGCGGAGTGCTTCCACAATACTGAGGCTAGCATCGACTTCCGGAGCGTTGCACTGTGGGTAGCTATCCCACAGTTCCCGCAGTCTCCACCACCCGTTGGAATTCTGGGTTGAGATTCCAATGCCAAATGGGGTAAAAACATTGTCGTGGGTGGTTCTGGGTACATGTCGTCAGGCCCTCCCTCCCTCCATGAGGGCAAAAGCAGACAATCGTTTCGCGCCTTTTTTCCTGAGTTACCTGTGCAGACGCCATACCACGGCAAGCATGGAGCCTGCTCAGCTCACTGTCACCGTATGTCTCCTGGGTGCTGGCAGACGCAGTACTGCATTGCTACACAGCAGCAGCTCATTGCCTTATGGCAGCAGACGGTGCAATAGGCCTGATAACCATCCTTATCATGTCCGAGGTGCTCCTGGCCACCTCGGTAAGGTCGGTCAGGAGCGCCTGGGCAGACATGGGCGTAGGGACTGAAATAGGAGTGACTCGACCAGGTCATTCTCTTTAGTCCTGCTGGCAGTCCTACTGCACCGTCTTCTGTCAAGCAGCCAGGAGATGAGGATGGCTAGCAGTCCTACTGCACCATCTGCTGCCAGCCAAAGATGTAAAAGATGGATGGAGTGGATCAAAACAAGAAATAGACCAGATTTGTTTTGTATTCATTTGCTCCCCCCTCCCTCCCTCTGTGAAATCAACGTCCGACAGTCGTTTCGATGAGGTCTGTCAGGGGCACCTTGAAAAGTTTAATGGAGATTCAGTCCTGCCTTAAATACATGGGGGAGGGATAGCTCAGTGGGTTGAGCATTGGGTTGTGCATTAGCCTGCTAAACCCAGGGTTTTGAGTTCAATCCTTGAGGGGGCCATTCTGTGTGACAGTTGTTTTTGTTTCTCCTTGATGTAAAGCCACCCCCTTTGTTGATTTTAATTCCCTGTAAGCGAACACTGTAAGCCATGTCATCAGTCACCCCTCCCTCCATCAGAGCAATGGCAGACAATCGTTCCACGCCTTCTTTCTGTGCAGATGCCATACCACGGCAAGCATGGAGCCCACTCAGATCACTTTGGCAATTAGGAGCACATTAAACACCACACGCATCATCCAGCAGTATATGTAGCACCAGAACCTGGCAAAGCGAAACCGGGCGAGTAGGCGACTTCAGCATGGTGACGAGAGTGATGAGGACATGGACACAGACTTCTCTCAAAGCACAGGCCCTGGCAACGTGGGCATCATGGTGCTAATGGGGCAGGTTCATGCCATGGAATGCCGATTCTGGGCCTGGGAAACAAGCACAGACTAGTGGGACCGCATAGTGTTGCAGGTCTGGGATGATTCCCAGTGGCATAAGGGCACTTTCATGGAACTTTGTGACTTGCTTTCCCCTGCCCTGAGGCGCAAGAATACCAAGATGAGAGCAGTCCTCACAGTTGAGAAGTGAGTGGCAATAGCCCTGTGGAAGCTTGCAAAGCCAGACAGCTACCGGTCAGTCAGGAATCAATTTGGAGTGGACAAATCTACTGTGGGGGCTTCTGTGATGCAAGTAGCCAACGCAATCAAAGATCTGCTAATATCAAGGGTAGTGACCCTGATCATAATCAGGTCATAGTGGATTGCTTTGCTGCAATGGGATTACCTAACTGTGGTGGGGCGATAGATGGAACCCATATCCCTATCTTGGCACTGGGGCACCAAGCCGGCGAGTACATAAACCGCAAAGGGTACTTTTCAATAGTGCTGCAAGCACTGGTGGATCACAAGGGACGTTTCACCAACAACAATATGGGATGGCCGGGAAAGGTACATGACGCTCGCATCTTCAGGAACTCTGGTCTGTTTCAAAAGCTGCAGGAAGGGACTTTATTCCCAGACCAGAAAATAACCGTTGGGGATGTTGAAAAGCCTATACTTATCCTTGGGGACCCAGCCTACCCCTTAATGCCATGGCTCATGAAGCCATACACAGGCAGCCTGGACAGTAGTCAGGAGCTGTTCAACTACAGGCTGAGCAAATGTAGAATGGTGGTAGAATGTGCATTTGGACGTTTAAAAGCGCGCTGGCGCAGTTTACTGACTTGGTTAGACCTCAGCGAAACCAATATTCCCACTGTTATTACTGTTTGCTGTGTGCTCCACAATATCTGTGAGAGTAAGGGGGAGACGTTTATGGTGGGGTGGGAGGTTGAGGCAAATTGCCTGACCGCTGGTTACGCGCAGCCAGACACCAGGGCAATTAGAAGAGCACAGGAGCATGCAGTGTGCATCAGAGAAGCTTTGAAAACCAGTTTCATGACTGGCCAGGCTACAGTATGAAAGTTCTTTTTTTTTCTCCTTGATGAAACTCCCCCATTCCCCCCCGGTTCACTCTACTTCCCTGTAAGCTAACCACTCTCCCCTTCGATCACCACTTGCAGAGGCAATAAAGTCATTGTTGCTTCACATTCATGCATTCTTTATTAATTCATCACACAAATAGGGGGATAACTGCCAAGGTAGCTCAGAAGGGGTGGTGGAGAAGGGAAGCACCAGGAGGAGTGGTGGAGGAGGGAAGGACAAGGCCGCACAGCACTTTAAAAGTTTAAAACTTTAAAACTTATTGAATGCCAGCCTTCTGTTGCTTGGGCAATCCTCTGGGGTGGAGTGGCTGCGTGGCCTGAGGCCCCCCCACCGCGTTCTTGGGAGTCTGGATGAGGAGGCTATGGAACTTGGGGAGGAGGGCAGTTGGTTACACAGGGGCTGTAGCAGTGGTCTGTGCTCCAGCTGCCTTTCCTGCAGCTCAACCATATGCTGGAGCATTTTAGTTTGATCCTCGAGCAGCCTCAGCATTGAATCCTGCCTCCTCTCATCATGCTGCTGCCACCTTTCAGCTTCAGCCCTCTCTTCAGCCTGCCACCTCTCCTCCCGGTCATTTTGTGCTTTTCTGCACTCTGACATTGTCTGCCTCCACACATTCATCTGTGCTCTGTCAGTGTGGGTGGACAGCATGAGGTCAGAAAACATTTCATTGTGAGTGCATTTTTTTTGCCTTCTGATCTTTGCTAGCCTCTTGGAAGGAGAAGATCCTGTGATCCTTGAAACACATGCAGCTGGTGGAGGAAAAAAAAGGGACTTGTATTTAAAAAGACATGTTTTATAGAACAATGGGTACACTCTTTCACGGTAAACCTTGCTGTTAACATTACATACAACAACAACATTACATAGCACATGTGCTTTCATTACAAGGTCACATTTTGCCTTCCCCCACCACGTGGCTAACCCCTCACCACTCCCCGCTCCCCGTGGCTAACAGCAGGGAACATTTTTGTTCAGCCACAGGCAAACAGCCCAGCAGGAACGGGCACCTCTGAATGTCCCCTTAAAAAAAGCACCCTATTTTAGCTAGGTGACCATGAATGATATCACTCTCCTGAGGATAACACAGAGAGATAAAGAACAGATGTTGTTTGAATGCCAGCAAACATACACTACTATGCTTTGTTCTGCAATGATTCCTGACTACTACTGGCCTGGCCTGGCATGTGCTACTGGCCTGGCATAGTAAAGTGTCCTACCATCGTGGATGGAATAAGGCTGTCCTCCCCAGAAACCTTTTTCAAAGGCTTTGGGAGTACATCCAGGAGCGCTTTATGGAGATGCCCATGGAGGATTTCCGCTCCATCTCCAGACACGTTAACAGACTTTTCCAGTAGCTGTACTGGCCACGAATGCCAGGGCAAATTAATCATTAAACACGCTTGCTTTTAAACCATGTATACTATTTAAAAAGGTACACTCACCAGAGGTCCCTTCTCCGCCTGGCGGGTCTGGGAGGCAGCTTTGGGTGGGTTTGGGGGGTACTGGCTCCAGGTCCAGGGCGAGAAACAGTTCCTGGCTGTCGGGAAAACCGGTTTCTCCGCTTGCTTGCTGTGAGCTATCTACAACCTCATCATCATCATCTTCCTCGTTCCCCAAACCTACTTCCGTGTTGCCTCCCTCTCCATTGAAGGAGTCAAAGCACACAGTTAGGGTAGTAGTGGCTGAACCCCCTAGAATGGCATGCAGCTCATCATAGAAACGGCATGTTTGGGGCTCTGACCCGGAGCGGCAGTTTGCCTCTCTGGTTTTCTGGTAGGCTTGCCTCAGCTCCTTAAGTTTCACGCGACACTGCTTTGGGTCCCTGTTATGGCCTCTGTCCTTCATGCCCTGGGAGATTTTGACAAATGTTTTGGCATTTCGAAAACTGGAACGGAGTTCTGATAGCACGGATTCCTCTCCCCATACAGCGATCAGATCCCGTACCTCCTGTTTGGTCCATGCTGGAGCTCTTCTGCGATTCTGGGACTCCATC